CTGAAGGTAGTTTCTTTTGCTGTGCAGAAGCTCTTTAGTTTAATTAGATCCCATTTGTCTATTGTGGCTTTTGTTGCCATTGCTTTTGGTGTTTTGGTCATGACACCTTTGCCTATGCCTATGTCCTGAATGGTATTGCCTAGGTTTTCTTCTAGGATTTTTATAGTTTTAGGTCTTAGATTTAAGTCTTTATTTCATCTTGAGTGAATTTTGGTATAAGGTATAAGGAAGGGGTCCAGTTTCAGCTTTCTGCATATGGCTAATCAGTTTTTCCATTACCATTTATTGAATAGGGAATCCTTTCCCCATTGCTTATTTTTGTCAGATTTGTCAAAGATCAGATGGTTGTAGATATGAAGTGTTACTTCTGAGGCCTCTGTTCCATTCCATATGTCTATATATCTGTTTTGGTACCAGTACCATCCTGTTTTGGCTACTATAGCCTTGTAATATAGTTTGAAGTCAGGTAGTGTGATGCCTCCAGCTTTGTTCTCTTTGCTTATGATTGTTTTGGCTATGTGGGCTCCTTTTTAGTTCCATATGAAATTTAAAGTAGTTTTTTTCCAATTCTGTGAAGAAAGTCAATGGTAGCTTGATGGGGATTGCATTGAATCTATAAATTACTTTGGAGAGTATGACCATTTTGTTTTTATTGCATTTTAAGTTTGGGGGTACATGTAAAGAACATGCAAGATTGTTGCATAAGTACACACATGGCAGTGTGACTTGCTGCCTTCCTCCCTATCACCTATATTTGGCATTTCTCCCCATGCTATCTCTCTCTAACTCCCCACCCTCTGCTGTTCCTCCCCCATTTCCCCCAGACAGACCCCAGTGCGTGGTGTTCCCCTCCCTGTGTCCATGTGTTCTCATTGTTGAACGCCCACCTATGAGTGAGAACATGCAGTGTTTGATTTTCTGTTCTTGTGTCTGTTTGCTGAGTATGATGGTTTCCAGGTCCATCCATGTCCCTACAAAGGACAGAAACTCATCGTTTTCTTATGGCTTCATAGTATTCCATGGTGTATATGTGCCACATTTTCCCTGTCCAGTCTATCATCGATGAGCATTTGGATTGGTTTCAGGTCTTTGCTATTGCAAACAGTGCTACAGTGAACATTTGTGTGCATGTATCCTTATAGTAGAACGATTTATAACCCTTTGGATATATACCCAGTAATGAGATTGCTGGGTCAAATGGAATTTCTGTTTCTAGGTCCTTGAGGAATTGCCACACCATCTTTCACATGATTGAACTAGTGTATGGCCATTTTTGTGATATTGATTCTTCCTATCCATGAGCATGGAATGTTTTTCCATTTGTTTGTGTCCTATCTTATTTCTTTGAGCAGTGGTTTTGTGTCACTGTTATTCAGTTCAAAGAATTTTAAAATTTTCATCTTGATTTTATTGTTGACCCAATGATCATTCAGGAGCAAGTTATTTAATTTCCATGTATTTGCATGATTTTGAGGGTTCCTTCTTGTGTTTATTCCCAATTTTATCTCACTGTGTTCTGAGAAAGTACCTGATATAATTTTGATTTTCTTAAACATATTTAGACTTGTTTTGTCTCAATTATCATATGGTCTGTCTTGGAGAACGTTTCCTGCACTGATAAATAGAATGTATATTCTGCAGTTGTTGGATAAAATGTTCTGTAAATTTCTGTTAAGTCCATTTGCTGTATAGTTCAAATCTATTATTTCTTTGCTGACTTTCAGTCTTTTTGACCTGTCTAGTGCTGTCAGTGGAGTATTTAAGTCCCCCACTATTATTGTGTTTCTTCCTCATTTTTTAGGTATAGTAGTATTTGTTTTATAAATTTGTGACCCCTAGTGTTAGGTGTATGTATATTTAGGATTGTGATATTTTTCTGTTGGACTAGTCCTTTCATCATGATATAATGTCCCTCTTTCTCTTTTTTAACTGCTATTGCTTTAAAGTTCATTTTGTCTGATATAAGAATAGCTACTCTTGCTTGCTTTTTGGAGTTCATTTGCATAGAATATCTTTTTCCACCCCTTTACCTTAAGTTTATGAGTCCTTATGTGTTAGGCAAGTCTCTTGAAGACATCACATACTTATTTGGTAAATTCTTATCCATCCTCTGATTTTGTGTCTTTTAAGTGGGGCATTTATATCATTTATATTTAATGTTAATATTGAGCTTTGTGGTACTTTTCTTTTCATGATGCTATTTGTTGCCTGAACACATTGTTTGTGTTTTTTAATTGTGTTTTTGTTTTATAGGTCCTGTGAGATATAGGTTTTAAGGAGGTTCTATTTTGGTGTATTTCAATGATTTATTTCAAGATTTAGAGCTCCTTTTAGCAGTTCTTGTAGTGCTGGCTTGGTAGTGGCAAATTCTCTCAGCATTTGTTTGTCTGAAAGAAACCCTATATTTTCCCTTCCTTTATGAAGCTTAGTTTCACTAGATACAAAATTCTTGGGTGATAATTGTTTTATTTAATGAGGATGAAGTTGGGGCTCCAATCCCTTCTAGCTTGTAGGGTTTCTTTTCAGAAATCCTCTTAGATATTGGACTTAAAGTCTTGCCCTTTTGAAGATACTTTCTAGATCCTGTAGGCATGTTTTATTTTCCATTCTTTTATTTTTTTTGTCTCCTCTTTGTGTATTTTTAAATAGCCTGTCTTCAAACTCACTAATTTGTTCCTCTTCATCTATTCTACCATTAATGGACTCATGCATTCTTCGTTATGTCTGTTGCATTTTTTCAGCTCAAGCATTCTGTTTCTTTTTAATTATTTTGATCTCTTTGTTAATTTTTTTCTGATATAATTTTGACTTTCTTCTTTGTGTAACCTTGAATTTCTTTGTTTACTCAACAGAACTATTTTGAATTCTCTGTCTGAAAGGTCACATACCTCTCTTTCTTGAGGATTGGTCCCTGGTGCCTTATTTAGTTCATTTGATGACATCATGTTTTCCTGGAAGGCAATGATGGTAGTAGATGTTCTTTGGTGTCTGGGCATTGAAGAGTTAGGTATTTATTGTAGTCTTCACTGTCTGGGTTTATTTGTAGCTGTCCTTCTTGGGGAAGCTTTCCAGATATTTGAAAGGATGTAAGTATTGTGATCTAAGGTGTTGATGCTAAAGGGAGCTCTCCAGGCTCAGCAACTCTGTGGTTCTTGCAGACTCATAGAGGTACCAACTTGATAGTCTTGGACAAGATCCAGGAGAATTCTCTAGATTACCAGGCAAAAATTCTTTCTCTCTTTCCTTACTTTCTCCCAAACATACAGTCTCTCTCTCTGTTCTGAGCCACCTAAAACTGGGGATGGAGTGACACAGGCACCCCTGTGGCCACCACCACTGTGATTGCACTGAGTCAGATGTGAAGATAGCATTCTGCTAGGTCTTGCAGACCTGCTGTAACCACTCTCTGCCTAATGTCTATGTTCCCTCAAGAGCCCACAATCAGCAGGTGGCAAAGCCACCCAAGAATGGCCAAGGAAACAAGTTTCAAATGAAATGGATACAGTAAGTGTTGATGACATAGATTGTTCAGGCAGAACAGAAATATGATGTTTTATCAAGTGGATGGAACTTACCAAGAACAGAATACATAATTCTACTTCCTCTACTTCTTTCCAATCTTGGAAATTATGAAAGATTAAAAAACTTAATGTTGTAAAATTAGTATGAGAAAGAGAGATGGAAATTTTACCCTTAGTTCTGCCATGAACTAACATTCAAGCTTTGCTTATCTGTAAAGTGAGAAAGTTGAGCCAGTTGACTTTTAAATTTCCTTCTAGTTATAAGACTAATTCTGTTTTAATTAAGAGCATCGGAATTTTTTATAGTGATTCTCTATTCCAGATAATAGCCTATTACATTTATAGGATGTAAAATTTGGGCCACTTGAGCTGAAATCTTATGATCATGTCCACATAATGGATTTCAATCTCAGCACCTACTTTTTAATAATATAAAAATATGTTATGAAATCTAAAAGTCTTAGTTTTGTAATTTTGTTATTTAGTTGTTGTTTCATTTTAGAAATATAGAGTGATTTTTTTCTTTCTCCTTTTATCAACTGTCAATTTAAAAATTACTAAATTGGCTAATCATTTTGAACCACAAGTCTTTATTTATTTATGATGGAGTCTCACTCTTTTGCCCAGGCTGTAGTGCAGTGGTATGATCTCGTCTCACTGCAACCTCCACTCCCTAGGTTCAAGTGATTCTTCTGCCTCAGCCTTCTGAGTAGCTGGGGTTACAGGTGCCTGCTACCACCCAGGCTCATTTTCGTGTTTTTAGTAGAGATGGGGTTTCACCATCTTGGCCAGGCTGGTCTTGAACTCCTGAACTTGGGATGCACCTGCCTCAGCCTCCCAACCTGCTGGGATTACAGGTGTGAGCAACCACGGCCAGCCAACAAATCATTTTTGTTGTTGTCGTTTATTGCTTTTTCCTGTTTTCTTTCTTTCTTTCTTTCTTTCTTTTTTTTTTTTTTTTTTTTTGAGATAGAGTCTCACTCTGTCACCCATGCTGGAGTACAGTAGTGTGATCTCAGTTCACTGACGCCTCTGCCTCCTGGGCTCAAGTGATCCTCCCACCTCAGTCTCCTGAGTAACTGAGATGCTACCATTACGCCTGGCTATTTTTTTGTATTTTGATAGAGTTGAGGTTTCCCACGTTGCACAGGCTGGCCTTGGGCTCCTGAGCTCAAGCAATTCACCTGCCTCAGCTTCCCAACAAGAATGAGCCACCATGCCAAACCAAGTTTTAATCACTATATTCATGCTCTACAGAGCACAAACATGCTCATGCTTTTATTATAATACTCATGTGTCCTTTGTCGCTATCAGTGTTGCCAGTCTCGTCTATGTGTAAGAAGGAACAGAGAATGCCTTGCCATGATGTATACTTACCCAGCAAATAGACCACTAACACTCAGTGTGGATAATAATGTTAAAGCAGTTAACTGTTTTTTTTAAATTCTCTATTTCATCTATTTTCTCTTTCCTTTCCAGGATATCCATCAAAATTCATCAGAGAGTGTTTTACTACCGAGCTACAAAGGTAAGAAAAATAAAATTTTTGTGGTTAAAAATATACTTCTTTCATCTGTTTTAATAATTTATTCCCCTTGTTAGATATACATAGAATTGATGTTGCTTACTCTGAATAAGTGATATGTTATTTCTACTTACTGCTCAATTTGAAACATATGTTTGTCAGTTTGAATTTTTCTTTCATACTATTACAGTTTATATTTTACTATAGACAGAATTTACTCTTTCTCCTGAATTTTGATACTATCTTTATTATCTTCTCCTTGATAATATTTGATATTATCTTTGTCATGCGTTGACATTACTACATATAATTTCCATGTAGAAGGAAGGCAATTCTGTGTGTGTGTGTGTGTGTGTGTGTGTGTACGTATATAGTTAGAAACTGAAGCTCTTTTATCTACCCTCATGTCATAGATTTTTTGCTATTGTGTGTGTGAGTGTGTGTATGTGTGTACGTATATTGAAGCTCTTTTGTCTACCATCATGTCATAGATTTCTTGCTATTCGAAGCCTATAATTTTTAAAGAAACAACTAAAGTTATCATTTATAGAATTAGCTGTCAGTGACTTAACAATACAGATATTAACATGAAGGCATTTACTTCGGCATTTGCTTTACTAGAGTGCAGAAAATGTGGCCCTTTTTTCAGTTAGAGTATATGCGAAGATAAATTTAGAATTTCTAGCCTAGTAAATACTTCTCTGATAATAACTTAATTGTAGCTATTTCAAACCAAATTGTTTAATTGTGGTGAATCATATGCAGATTGTTCAGATGTAGGTCAACACCCACTCCCACATTCTCGTACCTCTTTCTAATTCAAGACAACTTTGCAGTGCCTAAAAGAGCAGAACAATACAGATTAAAGATATAAGACCAAAAAAAAAAAAAAAAAAAAAGAATGGTAGCATAAAAACCAATAGTGTCAGAATGGTAACATAAAAACCAACCAGGAGATAGAAAGTCTCTCTAATAATGACTAGGCAGGTTGTGTTTATTTAAACTTTGCTTGATTATTTCTTAGGCTTTATGTGTTTGTAGATAATAATTTCTTCACTGCTCATGAGATTTGTGGCTAGCAAACTCATGGTATTTCTAGGATGTTAAGTTTCCTCATCTGTAAAGCACATGCAATAGCATCGTTGTTGTCTATTCATTGAGCTGAAATAAGGATAAAACAAACCAAGGACTGTAAAATGAATGTGACTCCTCAAATCCCATATGGGAGGAACATGCTGTTTTTCTTGTTCTGATTGAATCAAAGATCATTTATGGCATGAATGCCTTGTGTAGCTCCATGTGAGGCCAACTGAGATACAGTGCAATTGCAGAAATGAATAAACTTTTTATTTTTCAAGCTGTTTCATTATAGTTCTAATCTATGAATGCTTTTGTGATGCAGCATTGTATTATTTTCTGAGGAATGGCTAAAGTTTTCTGATTCTATTTTATCTTTATATATTGTCTGCTTGACAGATAAATATTTCAAATAAAATATTTCAAATATTTTATTTCCATTTATAGATGTGTTAAAAATCATAAAGCACATTCATAATTGTGTTATATTTCTCGTTGCTTTTTATTTTTTGAGACAGAGTCTTGCTCTGTCGCCCAGGCTGGAGTGCAGTGGTGCAATCTCCACTCATTGCAACTTCCACTCCCCCAGGTTCAAGCAATTCTCCTGCCTCAGCCTCCTGAGCAGCTGGGATTACAGGTGCCCCCCACCACACTGGCTAATTTTCTTGTTTTTAGTAGAGACAGGTTTCACCATGTTGGCCAGGCTGGTCTTGAACTCCTGATATTGTGATCCACCTGCCTAGGCCTCCCAAAGCGCTGGGATTACAGGCATGAGCCACTGCGCCCAGCCTGTTGTTACTTATTTCTAGGTGACTATTGCTGATGTTTTTGTTACAGTGACAGAAAATAGTTTTGCTGCCTATTGATGAAAAGTTCTTTATGGGTTTAATGATAATTATAATTTTGCCTTAATATAAACAATTTTTATTGTCACATCACTGCAATTTGATTGTTCAAGGATTTGAATTTATATTTGCATATAATTTATGATAATTAACATTTTCTGAAAATTGTTGAAAAAGTGGCAATTGTTTCTTTTATTCTTAAAGTGGGTGAAATAGATGGTGTAACCTTTGTGCTTCTTTCAATATGAGTATCTTTGTTTTAATTATTTAAGATAAAAGATAAAGAATTATACTAAACACAAAATAGTATATCCCTCAAAGTTAGCTACTACTAAAGTTTTGAAAGAATATGGGTATTTATTCTTTCCGATTCCTTCTTTATACACAGAAACATCAATATGCACATATAATGTTTCCATATCATATATATGATCCTGTGGATTTTTTGTTTATCATTTTAATTAAGGGTATTGTTCTAAGTCTATGTATGTTCTCTATTTCATCCATTGTAATGGCTGCATATTAGTCAATATTTTGGATGTATCATGATTTATTTAATAGGTCCTCTAAGCTTTTGTTTAAGAAAGAGAAGTTTAACATAGAATAAAAAGAGTCCTTCATTACATGTTTGGCAGGCATACAAAAGAATAATTCCCCTTTGTATATTGAATCAAGAAATTAAGGAATAAGGACAAAGTGTTACAGTAAAAAGTCATAGAAAATAGTATTGAATAAGTTTGTATCAGTGGGCAGGATAAAGAAAAGCTAATAATACAGATGTTCATGCAAGTGTGTGGTAGGTGTGTAAAATGGAACAGCTACCAGTTTCTTCAGAGTTTACCTCAAATGGCACCTCCTTCCATAAGCACTTAGAGACTTCCCTTCATTCCAGTGCTTACCAGTTATCTTACATCTCCATAGAAATTCAGGGAAAAATAGACCTTTTCATATTATGTCCCATGTACAAATTCATTTTGTACGCATCTTTTTTATTCCCCTCACTAGGCTGTTAACCCCCAGAGGGTAATGACTGTATGTTATTTATCTTTGAAGCTAATAGATGCAGAAAAAATACTCATTCAATTACATTGGAACAAAGTGTAAGAAAAGAAAGTAATCAGTAGGGTGCAGTGGCTTACACCTGTAATCCTAACATTTTGGGAGTCCAAGGCAGGTGGGTCACCTGAGGTCAGGAGTTTGAGACCAGCCTGGCCAGCATGGTGAAACCCTGTCTCTACTGAAAATACAAAAAATTAGCTGAGCGTTGTGGTAGGAGCCTGCAATCCCAACTACTTGGGAGGCTGAGGCAGAAAAATCACTTGAACCCGGGAGGCAGAGGTTGCATTGAGGAGAGATGGCACCACTGCACTCCAGCCTGAGCATCAGAGCAAGACTCCATCTCAAAAAAAAGAAAAGGAAAAAGAGAAAGAAAATAAAGTAATCAAGTATAACTCTTAAATCTTACACAGATTTTATAAGATGCCACTCTATACTTTGCTGTTATGCCTGGAGTAAATTATAATCTATTCTCTTAATGGATGAGACATAAATAGTATAAAAACATGGGCTTGATATACAATGGAAATTATTTTAAATTGAATTTTAATGCTTCTTTGTGGTATTCATGTTCAAAACCATACCTACAAGTCAAGCATTTTAGAAAACTGTTTATAAATTTATGAAAAAGTTATTTGTATGGTGCTGAACGTGGATATATATTACTGCATATAAATATAAAAACATTGTGTGAGCTTCAAAGCATTGTGCAAGTGTAAGACATTATTGTTATTGTTAATGCTGTAATAAAATTGCCTCTGTGGATTAAAAATGTAGATATTTATGAACAAAAAGCAGTAATACCAAAAGAAAAAATTATTTACATGGATTCTGGTAGAAAAACAAAGAGAATGTTGTTTTCAGTGGTTTGTGTAATGCAGATTGCTACTTGTGCCATTTAAATCTCTGAAATTGGCTTACCATTTGAATCACACTTGAAAGAACCTGTTTCCACCTTAGGCTGAATTCATTGGTAATGTAAATTTTTTAAAAAGCAGTGAACAGATGCAACAATTTCAATTTCATTTAAGAAAAAATTAGAAATTAGTGGGAGAAAAATATCCCTTTTGAAACAGAATGTAATGCCTAGTGAGTTCTTTTTCTTATCTCACTTGCAAAAGTCACTAGCTCCAACTCTGATTTTACATACCTTGTACTGGTCAAGTCAGTAAGTCTTTGGAAAGAAGGCGGCAAGTATGTTGGTCCGTCTTTTCTAATTTTTTTTTTTTTTTTTTTTTTAGCTTGTTGCTGAACTTTATAAACCCAGATCCTGAAACTTAGTGTTTCAAGTGTATATCTTAGCAGTGTCTTTTTTTTTTCTTTCTTTTTTTAAAGCTCTGATCTCCTCATTGTTTTCTATTTTGGTAGGGATACAAATGCAAGTACCTCTAGCCCCTATGGCATGCAAAAAAAAAAAAAAAAAAAAAAAAAAGAGTGTTAACAACAAACACCTGATAATAGGAAATGGTTGGTACTGAGAAACAGATGATCTTATGGTTAACCTCTGTGCTATAAGGGCTACTTCTAGAATACTGGAATGAATATTCTAGTCATATGTTCTGACAAATTGTGTGTTCCAGTGGCTACCACTTCTGAAGATTTATGGCATTGCGTATTGGAATTTTTGTGTAAAATATCATGATTTTGAAGGTTGGCTCAAAGAAAGGAAGGAAGGAAAGGAAGAAGGGAGGAAGGAAGGGAAGGAATAAAGGAAGGGGAAGGGAAGAAGGAAGGAAGACATAGAAGATTTGCCACCTTTGCATAAGTGTTCCATAAATATTTGTTCCAGCAATGAATGGATCATATATCTCTAGTTAAATGAGGAAATAAAAGAACACCCTAACTCTTGTGCTCCTTTCTTTATTAGAAATTTCATACAGGATTTCAGGGAGGGCCATATTTATAGCAGTGAATGCAGAGAATTCAGAGTTAAGATAAGCCTATCTCTGAATTTCCGAAGCCAGGAATACCAGAAGGGGGAGAGAGCAAGAGTGAATCAAGTAAGCTAAGAGGATGTTGTAAAAA